CACCCCGGGGTCTTCCTCTCCCCCCCCAGTGGGACCAGTCCCAGCTCTCCCGTTACCTGATGGGGCCAGTGCCGGGAGCAGGATGGAGCCTCCCAGGCTCAGGATGAACAGCCCAGCTGTGACCATGCTGGTGCAGAGCAGGCCACTGCCACCTCCCCTGGGACTGTTCAGGCTTGGGGTGCTTAAATAGCTCGGGAGGGGGGGTGCTGAGGCCCTGCCGGGGTATCACCCTCCTGCTTCCTCCTCTCTGGGGTTGCTGTCTTGTGCAGGGCACCCCACCGCCCTCCGGCACCCCAACGCCCTCCCGTGGGGCACCCCACCGCCCTCCGGCACCCCAACGCCCTCCCGTGGGGCACCCCACCGCCCTCCGGCACCCCAACGCCCTCCCGTGGGGCACCCCACCGCCCTCCGGCACCCCAACGCCCTCCCGTGGGGCACCCCACCGCCCTCCGGCACCCCAACGCCCTCCCGTGGGGCACCCCACCGCCCTCCGGCACCCCAACGCCCTCCCGTGGGGCACCCCACCGCCCTCCGGCACCCCAACGCCCTCCCGTGGGGCACCCCACCGCCCTCCGGCACCCCAACGCCCTCCCGTGGGGCACCCCACCGCCCTCCGGCACCCCAACGCCCTCCCGTGGGGCACCCCACCGCCCTCCGGCACCCCAACGCCCTCCCGTGGGGCACCCCACCGCCCTCCGGCACCCCAACGCCCTCCCGTGGGGCACCCCACCGCCCTCCGGCACCCCAACGCCCTCCCGTGGGGCACCCCACCGCCCTCCGGCACCCCAACGCCCTCCCGTGGGGCACCCCACCGCCCTCCGGCACCCCAACGCCCTCCCGTGGGGCACCCCACCGCCCTCCGGCACCCCAACGCCCTCCCGTGGGGCACCCCACCGCCCTCCGGCACCCCAACGCCCTCCCGTGGGGCACCCCACCGCCCTCCGGCACCCCAACGCCCTCCCGTGGGGCACCCCACCGCCCTCCGGCACCCCAACGCCCTCCCGTGGGGCACCCCACCGCCCTCCGGCACCCCAACGCCCTCCCGTGGGGCACCCCACCGCCCTCCGGCACCCCAACGCCCTCCCGTGGGGCACCCCACCTCCCGGCCGAGTGAGACGGCGGTGGCCTCACCCTGAGCAGGCGGATGTCGTTGTCCACCGAGCTGGGGCGATAGTGTGGGTGGGCAATGGACTCGGCAACGCTGAAGACCTGCTGGGACCTCTCGGGCTCCTCCAACCGGTGGGCGCCCAGCACCACCCGCACAGAGGGGCTGCGCCTGCGGGGGGGGGGGCCCGGGGTAGGGGCTGGCAAGGAGGGCTCAGGGGGACTGTGGGTGGGAAGGGGTTAATCCAGGATTATTTAACCCCTGGGATGGGGGTATCTCTTTGAAGTGGTCCCGGGTGTGGGAGCACGTGCCCCCTGTGGGAACCTGGCTCACCTGGGAATGAGGCAGTGGGCTGCTGTCATCACCCACTTGGGCCACACCAGGAAGCCCCCACAGACGTGCTGCCCATCTATCTGGATGGAGGCGATGAAGGGCCGGGAGTGGGGTGCTGCTGCCTTCCCCCCAATGATCCGGCTGCCCTGGGCTCCTGGTGGGTGGGTGCAGGTGGTCACCAGCTGCCACAGAACCCAGGCATGACCCTTGCCTGTGCCTGTACTGCTCCTGGCTGCCTGTCTCAAACACCCCAGCAGCACCTGCAGGTGCCAGGGAGCAGTCAAGCATTGGCTCTGGCTGAGGGGGGTGCAGTGCAGCAGGGCAAAGCCCCCTTGCCCCGCGGTGCTGCAGCCCGGGGTCTTCCTCTCCCACCCCAGTGGGACCAGTCCCAGCTCTCCCGTTACCTGATGGGGCCAGTGCCGGGAGCAGGATGGAGCCTCCCAGGCTCAGGATGAACAGCCCAGCTGTGACCATGCTGGTGCAGAGCAGGCCACTGCCACCTCCCCTGGGACTGTTCAGGCTTGGGGTGCTTAAATAGCTCGGGAGGGGGGGTGCTGAGGCCCTGCCGGGGTATCACCCTCCTGCTTCCTCCTCTCTGGGGTTGCTGTCTTGTGCAATTCCTGTGGATGGGGGGCACAGGCAGTGCCAGGGGGAGATACAGCATTGTGGCTTCCCCTAGAGTGGTGTGGCTGCTCACTGGGAGGGAAGCAGGTGCAGGAAGGAAAGGAGAAACCTGAGCAGTTCCCAACCCAGCCCCAGCTCCTCCTGTGCACGACAAATCCCTTCTCCTCCTGGCAGAAATGGGGGAGCAGCGGGGCCCCACTACATCCCAGGACACCTCCCGGGATGTGGCAACGTCCCTGAGGCTGGGACTGTGCTGTGCTGGGACCCGCATTATCTCTCGGCACCTCCGGAGACCTCCTGGCTGGGGGATGGTGCCGCAGGAAAAGGTCAGATTGCTCGCCCTTGCGTGCAGTCCCCTGGGGTGTACCGGGTTGTGCTGGGGTGTACTGGGTTGGGGGGCCTGGGTCCCACTGCCAGGTGACCATCTGTGCAGAGCCAGGCTCTCTCTGGGCCCAGCGTGCAGTTCTTGCCCCGGGGGCGGGCAGATTTCACAAGGGCTCCTGCCGGCTCGGGGCTTCCTGTGTCCGTTTGCCAGCGTTTGCCCAACGCGACCGCTGCATTGGGAAATGGGGGCGCAGCGCGGGGGGACGCACAGCTGGGGCTCCCCGCTTTCTCCATTCCCCCTCCTACCCTTTGCACCATCAGGGCTGAGTACCGGGGGGTCCTGGCAGGGTGAGTGGGGACCCTCCAGGAGTGTCTGGGGGGGGCCC